CTCTTCTCTTCTCTTCTCTTCTCTTCTCTTCTCTTCTCTTCTCTTCTCTTCTCTTCTCTTCTCTTCTCTTCTCTTCTCTTCTCTTCTCTTCTCTCCTCTTCTCTTTCTTTCTTTTTTCAGTTCTGAGACTTTGAGCTCAGGGTCTAGGTGCTGTTCCTGAGATTCTTTTACTGAAGGTTAAAACTCTACCACTTGAACCACAGCTCCACTTCTGGCTATTTATTTATTGTACTTTATTAGACATAAACGTCTTATGGACTTTCTTTCCCAGACTGGCTTCAAACCATGATCCTCAGATCTCAGGCTCCTGAGTTACTAGCATTATAGGCATGAGCCAACAGCATTCTTCTTAGTTTTAGACTCCACACTGTGTGAACATGATGCTTCTATCTGTTTTAATTTGGCATAATCTCACATGTATCCAGGGCATTCAGAAATAAAAAAACAACAACAAAAAAACCAAAACCAAAACCAACAACTTTTCAATGTAACAGGAAAAGAAAAACAGTCATTCTAGTGATGGACTTTACTCACCGAATTTCAGATTTATATTCATTGATGGTTTTTTGGGTTGTATCAAGTGGCTGATGGAGCTTTTCTGGATCGAGGCCAGTCTGAACAGCATTTCTCAGAGCTTGGAGCTTGACAAGATAGGAGTATAAGTTTTGTATTAGAAATTCTATCCCCTAAGTAATGGTCTAGATAGACCTGGGGAAAATGGTGTATGCACTATATAAATTGATAGTAGGCATCCACCCTTATCTAAACTTTTACCAAAATAAACTCTGCCAAACAATTAACTGTTCCATCTGTCTGGGATAATAAGGAGCAATATTTGTCCATCCTCCTTCTGTAGTCTAGATAATTAATATTACTTCTCTGTGAGTATCTCAGATATACATTTATGTTTGAAGCTAACAGCATGCCTTTTTGGCTTCTGGATACCTGATGGTATTTTTCTAAAATGTTGACATTCATCAAAGTATAGTCTTTTAACAGGAAGTATTGTGAGGTCTTATTGGGCATGAAGGTTTTAAAGTCAAAGCGTAAGATGGAAATTGTCTACAGTCCAAGCTACCCATGAAAAGTCAATGGGAGGGTGTCACATTGGAAATAAATCCAAATACAGACATTGTTCTTACCAGGAGTTGAAGTAGATGGCTTGGGCTTAGGTGCTAACAGTATGGGCAAATACACAGGAAGTGACAATCTCTAAGGACACTGAGATTCTTTCTTAGGCCACCAGTAGTCTCAGGATCTGAGATCACTTCAGCAAGTAATAGTCCAATGTTTTCCATCCAGTACCCACTTCATATATATGTGTGTGTGTGTGTAGATATATATATATGTATATATCTCTATCTATCTACATATATATACATATATATATATTTCAGAGTCTCACAGACTTTCCTGCCCAGGATGACTTCCAACCATGATCCTCAGATCCCAGCCTCCTGAGTAGCTAGAATTACAGGCATGAGAATGGGTACTAAGCAGAAGTCTTCCGCTTTAAGGAAGACTTTGGTCTTATTAAATGCAAATGATTGGTATTCTTCCTTTTGCTTTTACATAAGGCAATGTCTCACCCACCCTTGACAGAATTAACCTAGGAAAAGAGAAGTGGAAACATTGTTTGCTTCTAGGAGCAAATCAATGCATCCGTTCCAACAACAAGAAGTGTGGACGTCACAAGTACCTTATCAGTAAGAAATTTTGCCTTGTTTCTCTGGTGCCTTGCAAGGTACTGGTCGTATAGCTGTGCCAGCTTGGATGCCAAAACATGTTCTCGGCTAAAACAAGGATGGTGAGTGAAGATGAGCCCCGAAATGTCAATGTCCAGTTGGAAATTTCCAGGAGGGTCTCCAGAGCCAATCATATGCTGACTACTGTGGACATATTTCACTGCCTGCCAGAGAAAGAAGAATGGGAGGAACATAAACACTTACCAGATAGCGCTGTGCTAGTTCCCAAAGGAAAGGCAGGCAGACGCAAAATACCTTGTCTTCTGTATTGTCATGTACAACATGCTTGATTACCAGTATAGAGGATCTAGGTCTTTTGTTTTTGTTTCTGTGCAGGTACTGGGGTTTGAACTCAGGGCCTCAGCTCTGTCCCTTTTTTTTTTTTTTCCCAAAGAAAAGCTCCCACTTGAGCTACAACTTCACTTCCAGCTTCTTTTGGTGGCTAATTGGAGATAAGAGTCTCAGGACTTTTCTGCCTCCGTTGATTTTGAACCACAACCCTCAGATCTCAGCCCCTTGAGTAGCAAGAGTCACAGGTGTGAGCTAGTGGTACCCAGGCTCCAGCTCTCCTTTGAACACAAAGGAATAGGCTTTAGAGAAGAAATCATTTCAGTCTCACTTTCTTATGTCTTTTAGACTTTATTACTCTTGCGGGTCATGGTTCTAATCTTTTTTTTTTTTTTTCATGAAGACTATCCTGTTTCGTCAAGTCTTGGGTTTTGTAGCTGGAGATGTTGATCATTTTGAAATGTGAGAATCATAGATTCTAGTCTGAATGATCATAGATATACTCCCATTGATAGAACATAAGCATTAAAAATATGTGAAGTTTGTGTTTGGTAGACAGCAGCAAGAGGCTTTTTCTTAATGGTATTCCCTGCTGATACTCAGCATTATGCAAAATAACAGGAAGCAGGGTGGAGAGAAGCTGTGCTCAATGCATACAGAAAAGCAATGGAGAGCGCAATGGACTGTTGGGTGCTGTGTCAGATGATCTCTGATTTTTTTAAAATAAAGTCTTCAAGGTATTCTTCATCAGTCCCCACAGCTGACTGAGCTGAGAGCTTAAAGGGGAAGAGGGAGCAAACTCTGATTGCATATTTGTGTTTTCTCTCCTGGCTGTAGATACTGACTATAGTCAGAATGTGCTGGAACAAGACCAATCACTCTATCTTTCCTTCTCTTTTACAGAGATGAGCTGAAAACTGTACTATGAAATTGTGTGGTATCAATGTTTTATGGGCAAGTGATAAGGTCATGTAGAAGTTATAAACACTTCTAGACACAGTGTGTTGAAAGTTTGGACCTCAGTTGGTGACAGTTTTTGACAAGTGACTAGATCATGAGGGCACTGTCGTCAACGAGTTAACTCACTGATGAGTTTATATTGAACGGGGCTAGTCCATCTCCTACCTACCCCATTAGTGAAGCCTGGTTAGAAGAAAGAGGTCACTGTGGGCATACCTTTGAAGGGCCTATCTTGTTCATGGTGTCTCATCTGTCTGTCTGTCCTTCCTAGCCACCACAAGGTGAGAGGCCTTCCATGATGCTCTGCCTCACTGCAGGTACCCACAGGAATGGGCCCAAGCAACCAAGGTCTGACACTTCCAAAACCACAAGCCCAAATCAATCTTCCTCCTTCAACATTGTTTCACTCAAGCATTTTGTCACAGCAACAGAACGCTGGCTAATACAACTTCCTTTTTCATACATTGAGAACAAAACAATAGCAACAGAACAAAAACAATAGCAACAGTTTCTCCCCGATGTCCCTTATGGATCACGTTCCACTGCTCTTTCATGTTCTATGGGAGCCCATGTAGCCTTTCAGACATGAGTTCTGATCACTGGTATTCTTATACATGAGGCTCTATCATGGTGGCCTATTTTTTCCTCTTTCATTCAGATAAAAGTATTCCATTAGAACTTGCATTGGTATTAGCAGTTGCAAGTACTGGGCTTTGAACTCAAGGTCTTGTGCTTATGTGGGGCTTGTTTGCCAGCTTGTGCTCTACCACTTGAGCCATACCTCCAGCCTGATTTTTACTGGTTACCTTGGAGATGGAATCTCTTCAGATTTCTCTGTCCCAGATTGCCTCAAATCACTCTCCTATGAATCTCAGCCTTCTGAAAAGCTAGGATTACAGGCATAAGCCACTAGCACCTGGCTTGTGTAAGAAGCTTTCAGTCTTCATGTAGCATCTATGTGTTTATGACCACCTAGAGAACCTAGATTAATTAGAAACTTTCCACCTTACAAAGAAGTGTACCACTAAATTCCTATCTGTAGTGGAATGTCACTGTCTGGCTGCTTATGCCTGCTAGTTCTTGCCTCGCCTTCCCTCTTTCCTTGAGGTTTTCCAGTTGTGAGCTCAGTAGGGTGTGGCTCTCAAGTTCCATCTTGCATTCAACTTGGTGTGACTAAGCAACCACACCATGGAATGCTTTTATGTTCCTGGAATGTTACCTGCAATGTCTCCTTCCCCAAATCTGCATTACTGCCTGTTCCTGTCTCTGTCTTAGACTCTTAAGCTTTGCTCCATTTCTGTCTCCTCCCAAGAGGCACAAAACCTCCCTAAGGCTAAGGCCAAGTTTAAATGTTCCATCTCTCTATTTCTTTAGATGTGTGTGTGTGTGTGTGTGTGTGTGTGTGCGCGCGTGCGCGCGCGCACCAGTCCTGGGACTTGAACTCAGGGTCTAGGTGCTATCCCTGAGCTTTTTTGCTCAGGGCTAGTGCTCTACCTCTTGAACCATAGCTTCACTTCTGGCTTTCTAGTAGTTTATTGGGGAAAAGTGTATCACAGACTTTCCTAGCCAGGCTGGCTTTAAACCTCTGGCCTCTGAGTAGCCGGGATTACAAGTGTGTGCCAGCAGCACTGGCTTTGTATTTCTAAAATTTAACACAAGTAAATATATAGCGAAAGTTTAGTTAAAGATGAAAAGAATAAAATGGGAAGGAAGGAATAAGGAAGAAAAAGACAGCTGGGGCTGATTTTCAACAAAGCTAGCTGGACTTGGGATTGTTGATTGTGCAAACTGAATGTTCTCTTGTGCTTTACCTTACAATGGCCCATTTTGTATTTTTAGGTTTTTAGATTTAGAATAGTCCTTTTAAAAAATATGTTAAATTCTCTGTGTTAAATTTGGACCTTAACTTTTTTTTTCTCTGCATGGTATTCAATCTCTTTTTTTGTATTTTTCTCTCTTTAATTTTCTTTTCTTAATTTAGAAACAGCAGAATAATCACTTTTTTGTGTACTGGTCATGAGGCTTGAACTCAGGGTGCTGTCCTTGAACTTTTTGGCTCAAGGCAAGTGCTCTACCGCTTGAACCACAGCTCCATCTCTGGCCTTTTGGTAGTTTATTGGAGATAAATAGTCCCACAGACTTTCCTGCCTGCACTGGCTTCGAACTGCAACCTTCAGATCTCAGCCTTTTGAGTAGCTAGTATTACAAGCCTAAACCACAGGTGCCCAGCTCTGGGATTTTTTTTTTTAAATATAGAGAAACTGCTAAATGCTATAGTTAAGAAGAGGAATAGAACCCAGTTCTAGTCCCAAGTTACTCTCAGCTTATAAAGTGAGAGAAAGAGATGAGTTAACAATTTATGAGCAAAACAAACTCTTACCTTTTCTTGCTTTCTCTACTCCTACATCATGTCAAACACATGATGGTGGAAAGTCTATTCAGACATGGGATGCAAAATATAGGACGAATGGATTTAAAGCATTTTTAAAAAAAGAAAAACATAAACAGGTAGATTTCAGCATCAGACAGAGCTGACTAAATGAGAGCATGAGGCTGAGTTTAAACCCCCAAATCACACAGACACAGAGAGAAAGAGACACAGAGAGAGAGAGAAGAAGAAGAAAGAGGATTTGTAAGGATAACAAATCTCCAGTGAGGGCATAAAGATACAGCAATTTATGATGACTGAAAAGAGAGAAGCAAAAGAAGCAGGGTGAAAATAAGTGCTACGCTAGCCTGTATATGCAAGTAAAGTTATGTTCTTTTTTGTTGGTGTTGTTAGTCATGGGGCTTGAACTCTGAGCCTGCGCACTGTCCCTGAGCTCTTCAGCTCAAAGCTAACATTCTACCACTTGAGCTACAGTGCCACTTCCAGTTTTCTGAATGGTTTATTGGCGGTTAGAGTCCCACGGACTTTCCTGCCTGGGCCGGCTTTGAACTGTGATCCTCAGATCTCAGCCTTCTGAGTAGCTAGAATTATAGGCGTGAGCCACTAGTGCCCGGCTAAAGTTGTGTTCTTTATGCAAATAGCCATTCTTGGCTAGGAAATGAATTCATTTCTTACAGAAAGGATTAGGTGAGCAGAGGGACTTACTTGTACATACCTGCTCTTTGTTCTTTATGTGCACGATGGTAAGGTATTAAAAAACAAAAACCGAAAATACCCCTCAAAGGAGAATGTTCGAAATTGCTCACCCCAAGTCACTTAATAAGCCAAACAATTTCAAATTCACGTGTTAAACTGGATTAAAATGGAGGGGGGGATGGTGATCATACCTTTTTGTATAGTGTTTCAAGTTCCGCCTTGATGCTTTGTGCTGGGGTGAACAGTGGTGGCCGTGAGGAAAATGGCTTGATGGGACTGGGCAGGGCCAGGATCCGGCCATCATCTCCAAACCACTTCCTCTCCTGTGGATTAAGCATCAGAGAGCACCCGCTGTATTTCTTCCTTGGAATATGAAGTCGTGTACAAAACCAATTTCTGCCTTGATGACACACTTGTATATATACCTCCTCCTCTCCCAAAAGAACTTGAAATGCTTCTGTTTCCAGTGGAAATTGAACTTCACCAATGCTTCCATGATGAGTTCAACATAAAGTCCCTAATCCCCAGAATAGGTTAAAGGTTATGTGAGCCAGGCACTGTTGGCTCACACCTGTCACTCTGAGCTACTCAAGAGGCTGAGATCTGAGGATCATAGTTCAAAGCCAGCCTGGAAGACAAATCTGTGAGACTCTTAGCTCTAATTAACCAGCAAAAAGCCAGAAATAGAAATGTGAATCAAGCAGTAGAGCACCAGTCTTTAGCCAAAAAAAAAAAAGTAAAAAGCCAAACAAGAGTATGAGGCCCTGAGTTTACGCCCCAGTACCACACACACACACACACACACACACACATTTTGTGAACTGAGAAAGGGTGGCCCATATCTGATTTAGCAGAGACCAAGCTCTAGGTAGCGGGAGATGAGTTTTGAGCGGCTGAGAGGTAGTTTTCTTTGAGAGTCACTAGGTGTACTGGGAGATTGAGTATAAGAGAGGAGAAAAGGAACCGCTTTCTGTGGATGACTCAAGAGGAAAGGGGTGTGTGGAAGCAACTGTCCAGAGCTGGGCTCCTCTGGGGGGAGGGGCAGGTCCCCACTCACTGGTTCTTTTTTTGGGGGGGGGGTCCGGTCATGGGGTCTGAACTCTGGGCCTGGGCGCTGTCCCTCAGCTCTTCAGCTCAAGGCTAGCACTCTACCACTTGAGCCACAGCACCACTTCCGGCTTTTTT